CCTCCTCCTCCTCCTCCTCCTCCTCCTCCTCCTCCTCCTCTCTCCTCTCCTCCTCCTCCTCCTCTCTCTCTCTCTCTCTCTCTCTCTCTCTCTCTCTCTACAAGCTTCAGCTTATTCAATGGAGCGCACAGTCTATATTTACCATGTCTATGATTGCAATATTGCCTAAATAATGCAAAATATTATCGCAATATTGCTGCAGGATTGCAGGTAAAAAGTCCGCCTGCAGAAAGATTACAATCACGAGACACAGTAGTGCCTCGCGCCAAGTATAAGCGTAGCTAGAACGCACGCGCGAGACCGATCGTGTAGTTTACGCGAGTATTATGTGCGAGTTGACAGGTCCTCAGATTTTTGGATCTCAACGGCTGAACTCAATGGCTGATCCAGCGAACTTCTAAGTGGTATAAGAAATTCTGCAATATGGATGGACGGAATGTAGGTCCACTTATTTTTCTTACTCGGGTCTATATGGATGCTAAAAAAAGTTGTAGAAAATTTATGGCGTAACTAACAATTAATATTATTATGTAATCATGCTAAATAATATTAGGAATCAGAAATAATATAAGTAAACTTTAATATAAAAATAAACATACTTTATAAATGTAACACTAGAATATAAACAATTCTGACAGAATGTTAGAACAAATCTAAAAGCTTTTTTAAAATTAATTATAAAGAAAGTAACCAATTGCATAGTTACAAAAAGCTATTAGTTTTACTGTTAGTACTTTTGTAGATACGATATCTTACCAGGAGCAGTAAGTAATCCCATACCAAATAATGGTTTGAAAAGCTTATAAATTATACTTTTATCCATGCAATTTCTGTTATGTAAGATAGCCTAAAACATTATAAATTAACGTTTTTACATTTGTGGAAAAGTGCGCATGTTTGTTTCATTCGTTTAATAAATATTTTACATATATATTTCATCCATTATGAACCAATTTGTGATTAGTTAAAGTTAATTATAAAGATACGTACATTACATATTCATGTATGTATAAAATATATATGTAGAAAGTCATTTAAAATAGCTATTTATGAAAAGATAATAGAAACATTAGGTTAAACTGAATGATTTTCCTTTACTTTTGCCTGTTGTGGGTCATATATTCCAATGACTAAGTTGCTGCCCAACCAAAATTGAAAAGGAGATGAGTATTCTTCTGCCAATCGTAGTACCATATTCAAACGTTCTAAAAATTTTAGTATATTGTTTATACATATATTTAGTAATTATGTACTATAACGGACCACCCTCCAATCTTGATGACCTTGACATAAGTTGTCATGGTCATGACCCTGAGTGACATTCAAGAAGATTTAGCCGTCGGCCGGTGTTTGTTAAAAAGTTATTAACAAAAAATGTTTAACGATTATGGTTTTTAATATTTATCTCGCAAAATATTTAAAATTTTGAAAAATGTTTTAAACAACCAATCTCCTTAAACACTCTTGTTAATAACTTTTTAACAAACACCGGCCGACGGCTAAACTTTCTTGAATGTCATTCAGGGTTATGACCATGACAAATATGTCCAGGTCACCGAGATTGGAGGGTGGTCCGTTATAATATAATACATAATTACCATATATTTTATTATCAAAATAAATATTACGTACATTTTTAATTAATATAATAAGATAAGCTCGTTTCGTGTAAAGACAAATGAAAAACAACAACAGGCCAATAATTATACGAGTAATTTCTGTAGCTCTAAAATGACTCATAGGATCGGGTTGCGTCCTTGACAACTTTTGATCAGCATGACTCGAAGTACAAAATGGCACAGTTTCATCGAATTTGTCCGGGCCGAATTTCCCCGTGTTTTGTGCGGGGTCCTTTAATACAAATAAATATTTTAATAAAAGATCGCCTTTTCTAATTTAATTGTGGGATACATATCGATCCTGAGTCATGACATTATTTTCCGGCTAGTGCAAATATTTCCGAGCACTGCTTTAGAACAATATTACATCAAAATATATCATTGTAATAAATGAGTGCTGGTTCCTGTCTGGAAGAAACTTTTGAGCATTACTGTCGCGAAACAACTACCTTAGTGGTGGAGACCCAGCAAACACAAAGTAACAGTTACATAACTGTAAGTTAAAATTTCCTACTCAACAATATAACTGTTACATAACACACGTGTTATATATTGTTGAGTAGGAAATTTTAATTTACAGTTATACAACTGTTACTTTGTGTTTGCTGGGGATATTCGTTTATTATTACGTAATTGGATTATCCAATTACATTTAATCGGAGTATACATATACTAAAACTCTTTAGCTATTTTTACATTTCATAAAAAGTTTGAATTACATTAAGTGAAATTATTGAATTATATTTAACATATAATCTTATCTTAAAAATATTTATGCTAATTTTAAATATTAAGTAAGTCAAAATATTAATATTTCTTCTTACCAAAATAATTCCATAAAATAGGATAGTTACCCAAAACCGGCCATGGTTTGGGTCCTGGCAAATTGGTTAGTTTTCTAATAAATATTACGTTTTTGTAGCATAACATGTAATATAAAATAACAGCGACACAAATTACTATTTCCGTCACAGATGCAAACATCGTAGTATACAACCAATATAAATACCGCGCAACTTATACTTAATCTGAATGTTTCTTTCAACATAAGGCATGGCTTATATATATATGCCCCCCCCACCCGATGCCCCCTTTGACCTTACAACAATGTGCTTCCCACCCGATGAGCAGATTAGGAGTGGAGCCTAATGAAAAACCAAGAACACGAAATAAATTTCTACGATGAATACTTTTTATCGTACCATCAACTCTACTTCATTAACTCGAATGGTTTTTATATTTTCCCAGATGTAGAGTTATGATTATTCCCCCCCCCCCCGCCTCAAGTATCTTCTCTACAAAAGTAATGATATCATCAAATGGCTCCAACTAAACTGAATATTTATACAAACTATGGTACTTTATCATTTTTTATATTAGAATGTTACATCCAACCAATATTAAGCATACAATTTTATCGGAAGAAATAAAGGAAATAATAAGATTAATATTATAACATCAGTGATTTATATTGACTGTATCTGGCAATTTTTATAATACAGAAAATTTATTGCGAAAAATATTACCTCAGCCAGGGTTTGAATCTGGACTTTCCTTCTCTCTAGGCGGGCGTCTCAACAAATTCGACCACCGAGGCATATGATAATATTAGTCGCAATAACAGTATAAAGTCGAAATAGACGCGTAAATAATATCTTTATTTTATTTCCAGCGTCGGACGATAGAAGGTAAAAGAAGGTAGAGTCGAATGCCAACCCCCTCCCCCCCGCCTATCTCTGCCACACGCCCGGCTATAATTTTTATGTTCATATCCTTGGTCCGGAGAAAGTTTACACCGTGAAGGACTTTGCGTCAGTGTTGCCCACGGTCTTAAGGCCATTCTACAATTGCGTAAACGTAGTTGTAGGGTTGTAGGAGTAGAAGTAGTAGTAAGTGTTGTACATCAAAGTAATATACAATAGAGTGAGATACGTCGTAATTGAAATGAATGATTATATAGTTAGCTTTTACGTCCTGTATCGTTGTAGTCGTGGAAGATCAAGTTCAGCCATCTTTTACAACAGGCTTTACAATCGGAAATGCTAGTTTAAAACTGTGTTTTACAACACTGTACAACCGCTAACAACCACGTTTACGCAATTGTAGAATAGCCTTAACATACAGGTCCTTACCCACAGCTCATATGGTGGGGGTAGGTCGAATTTTAAGCCAAAAATCGTTTGTCTCTTGGCCACGAGAGTCGCTGCGGTAGGATAGTAGACAGAGACGCAGATATAGAAACCGTAATTTCTATATCTGTGTCTCTGTCCTACTACCGCTACTATCCTACCGCAGCAACTCTCGTGGCCAAGAGACAAACGATTTTTGGCTTAAAAATTCGACCTACTCCCACCACCATTTGGCTGAGCTGAAGGACCTGTATGTAAGACCGTGGTGTTGCCTACTATGCTTCTCTACATGGCAGTCGAGCGCGTGGAGGAGGTAGAGTGGGAGTAGCCCCTCAGCGCTCGGCTAACGTCCGAACGTCGCAGTCGGACGCGGAGAAGAGCGCGGACATATCTGCTGTCTCTTTCCGCGCTCTTCTATCGACACGGCGTAGAGAGAAAGAGACAGCAGATATACCCGCGCTCTTCTCCGCGTCCGACGTTAGCAGAGCGCTGAGGGGCTACCCCCACTCTACCCCCTCCACGCGCTCGACTGCCATGCAGAGAAGCATAGTAGACAACACTGCTTTGCGTGAATAAATTAGTCGACTAGTCGACATTTACCAGCTCTTAATGTCAAAACTCACATCTCGATGAAACGATGATCTTTCTGCAGCCGTCAATAAATCCGAATACGCGTCACATTTGATATCCTTTATGTATAGCGTTGCGAGCGTTTTTTAACCTTTGACTTTTTTATTTAAATTATTTTCTTCCCATACAGCAAAATACATTTCTGAAAGGTTTCTAAAATATTTCAAGGTTTCGGAAACATTTCATGTATCATCCTTGCCAGCACTAGACGTGACAGCGACGTTCTACATTGGTCACAAAGTCGCAACCTAGATAGCACACAGATGAACATAAGTTCATAGAGGATTCATTTTAAAGAAAACATACAGAATTAGAAAAACGAATATCTGAAGAATTCTTGAAGAAATAGTCTCAATCAGTTCGTCTTGAAGTATTCTTCTGAAGTTCATTATAATGAATACTTCGCGATTCAGTACTGTGAATACTTTAAGAATTTATAAGGAATTATTTGTCATGCGCGAGTATCCGCTAACCGCCATCCGGACGTTCTTGTGCAGCGTGTTATCACGTGTAATATTTTGTGTGCGTAACGTTATGTGCAATTAATTTGGTGCAATAGTTCTATTGTGTAAAAGAAAGAATCGATTCTTTCTTTTCTTCTTCAGAACTTCAGAAGAATACTTCAAGACGAACTGATTGAGACTATTTCTTCAAGAATTCTTCAGATATTTATTTTTCTAATTCTGTATGTTTTCTTTAAAATAAATTCTCTATGAACTTATGTTCATCTTTGTGCTATCTGGGTCGAACGACGAGAACCGAAACGGAAGAATCATCCGATTGTTAACGAGCTTCGGTTGAGAGTATCTCACTGTTGAGTGAGAAATTATAATAATGGTGTAATGTTACTGCATATTAGATGTGTACATACATTGGGTAAATATTTTGTAATCCTCTTTGTACTAACACTATTCCCCTTGAATTCATAAAGTTTACATTTATTGAATTCGAGATGAATACTTTAAGAAGTTGTCAGGAAAACGATTTATGGTGCATGTAACTTCCTCTGTCACTCTTATTGTATTCTTCTATGAATTCCTAAAAAATTACAATTCAGAAAAAGAAAATTAAAGAATACTTTGTGAATTCAGTGTGCTATCTGGGTAGTACTACATGTTCTGAAAATATACGAGAATATGCGGAAAATAATATACTACTAAAAATGTTATAGGGATGATCTCAGTATGTTATATACAGTACGTTTTACAGTATAGTGTTTTAGAATATACGTAACAATATATTCTGATAATATATTATACTATATACGAGAAATCATATACTATAAAAGATGTTCTGAAAACATCCTAGAAATATACGAAAACTGGTATACTACAGGAGATATTATAGAGATATTCTCAGTATATTATGTACAGTACGTACATTCATAGTATGAGTACAGAATATTCGTGTAATATCATGTTCTGTCTGGGAACAGTCTGTCGTTGGCGGGTGTTACGTACAGACGTGGGCCTGTCACGTCGTACTGTATCGTTTTATCGAAAATCTAACGACGGACTCTCACAACCATGAGCCACCGATGGTGAGCGCAAAAATAACCGCAATACAATCTTACTCAGCTTGACCAACTAATTGACCCTGTCATCATATAATATACAATTTAATATATTATCAACATCAAATTTGGTTGACCATATCTGGCAATTTTAATGGTTTAGTGTCGCGACGTTTCGACCATGGGTTTTGGTCCTTTTCAAGCGATCATAACTGTGGTAGTCGTACACATAGAATCACATGTATTATAGTGGTGTTGAGAGGATATTATAGTCATTACAATCCAAAAATGTTATGCCAGTGTTGGCTATACATGAACTTAGCTTGAGCACTGACAGAACATGACTGACCTAAACCCATGGAAAAGGACCAAAACCCATGGTCGAAACATCGCGACACTAAACCATTAAAATTGCCAGATATGGTCAACCAAATTTGATGTTGTTAATTTTTGCTGGCGATCCTGAAAAATTTCTGATCAGTTTAATATATTATTTTTGAAAAAACAATTCTACATGCGTGTTTTGTTTCGCTCCATCTCTGTCAAAAACACAATATCGATTCTCACAATCCCAGTGAGAAATGATTCGTCGCCCGACGTCCAGGTGGTCGTCGAATCGACGTCACTTCTCGTTCGAATGTCGTCATAAACGCCTTATCATAACTACTAGATTTACTAGCAAAGCAAATGAGCTTACAAGTAGGATCTTGTTCACAGAATAATTTTATCGTTCATTATCGAAAGTCAAGTTGTAAACAAACGTAATGAGGTAGTTTGTCATTGTCCAGACGCTCACCTGTAGATGAGGGGCCACGTGTCGTATCAGAGGATTCGACGCCAACTCGGCTTCTTCCTCAGACTGAGGATTGTTGCCTGAGGAGGTGATTAAACGCGCAATGCAATCCTCCTTCGCCACTGACAGCGACGCCACGAGATCCTTCCTCGTGTTACCTCCCTGAAGGACTTTCAATCTGGAGTCTGTCATTGGAAAAGAATTTAGAAATCAGATAAAAATACGAGGGCGTGAATCACGGCATCTTACACAGCTTCTGCAGATACTGCTCCGAGTCGGACAGCCGACGATGAGTGGTGTTCTCGTCCAAGAAGGAATCTTCGAAACGATCGCTGGGCGAGTCGTCGTTGTCGACCGTTGTTTCCGCACGGGTTCCGCGCCAAGGATCGCTAGCGCTCGACTTCATTCTAAATCGCCCTGTGTTTTGCGCGCGATAATTTTGTTACGTCACGCGCACTTTCACTGTTTTTTTCCCCTACTAATCATATTCGACGAGATTGCGTCATCGCGAGTAAGGCAGAGCAAGTATTTGAGAGCTAGGTTGCGAAACTCTAATGATAAGAAGGTTCCATTGATACTCCGTCTGCATAGACCAGCGGAAGTCGACACCAGTGCCCGGAGTGTGATATCGACGAACGATACTCTGCCATTTAAATCGATAGCATCAAACTTACCGCTTCTGCCATTTTTAATTACAAACTTGTTCTAAAGTTTAATATCAGATTTATAAAATAATCTTATCCATAACGTGTACAAATTTTTGCAGAGCAAAATTTATTCAATATGCAGGATGCCCCAAACCACCCTTACACCCCTTCTAAAATAAAAATTAATGACCAGGGCAGTGCAAAGGGTTTTTGGGGCCCGGCCCTGGTGCAAAGATAAAAATGGGGCCCTTTCATGAATTTAATATCTTGTGTTCTAAGTAAAGAAGTTTTAAGAGGATTAAAATAAATGTAATAAAGCAATATACATACAATATAATTAAAATAATATTTATTTATAAATAAGTTCTCTCTTTGCACTTACTTCGTGAATCATTATTGCATATTTAGACACTTGTGTGTCTCGAAAGGTTAATTATATAAATAATATGTAAAAGTTAATGGTGTATTAAAAAATTGCATGTGTGTGTTACTCCCCTTTTTTATTGGGAAATACAATTAATGACCCATGTTGAATCATTAATTAAGTTACTTTTGTTAATAACTTTTGAATAAAAAACGAGCGACGACTATAACCTTCTGAAGGTCACTCAGGATTGTGACCTTGACAAAATCATTTACGGGGGTCGACCTTGTCTAAATATTTTTCTTTACCGGTGATATTTTTAACTTTTGATTCCGACCGGAAGTTAAATTTTGTTAGAGAAACATGGTACTTTTTATTACAAATTCGAATTGTACACAAAAAAAATAAAAAAACTTTTATATCAAGTGTTTCTTTAATTTAAACAATTTCATAACTCGTTTGATTATTCGAAACATGTTATTTAGTCCATCTTCTGTACCTTCAACTTTATTGGTAATTAAAATACGTGATCCCATAAAAAAAATTAATAATCTTGACATCTTAAAGGATGTGACTTTGTGACGAATTACCTTCGTATCCACGTCAACTTCTTTTCGAATCAAGTAATTCCGTTTGACGTTTTTATCCTAACGCGTAAAAGATGTTTGAGGTGGTCAAGATAAATGGGACACCCTGTATATGCATATAACTGTATTTATGTACTCTTATCAGATTCTTATTATCTCGCCCTCTGTTTCACTTAAGAATATTTTATGTGGGGTATTATGGAGGTAATAATAAGGTATATAATTAATGTGTTCATTATATGCTAATAATATGTACATTAATTTGGTTCACTTGGCTCCTTTATACGAGACATTACTGAAGGCCCTTCTACATTCGTGGATAATTTTATTTCTGTCTTACATCGATAGCAGGTCACATTGATTAATACAGAGATAAATAGTTGATTATATTACAGCACATAAGAAATACTGCACGAGCGAAATTTCTTTTCAGGTTCGCGATACACACGATTCGTTTCTTATACACATATAATGCACATAATTAGCTTGACAAACTCCTCAAGCCATAACAGATATATAATTAACTCAATTTTATACAAAAAAATAAATAAAATGTACACTATTGTTCGTTAATCGTAGCAACTTATATCTTAATAACAAATTACACAGCTATTGACCTATCGTAAATCGTATTGATAAAAATAAAGGTATAACATGTATGCGCAACACGCCCTTCTCATTATCATCCCCTGGTTATGTGTAACAGAATAAATATATCTCACTTGATAATTGGAATGTCTCTCTATTGATACACGCTGAAGATAGTGAAGAATTATTGACACAGATATTGACTAAAAATTCGACTGTCCTTATAACTATTCTGCCTATTATAATTTCTCTCTCTCTCTCTCTCTCTCTCTCTCTCTCTCTCTCTCTCTCTGAACCACAGTGACAAATTTTGAATCAACACGTGCACAATTATCCATTGCATATAATATACATGTGCACTCGTGGATGCACTCAACAATAAATACACGGCATACGAGAATATAACAGGTATATCTCTTTGTACATATATAGCTATGTTTATTGCTATTCAATAATTAAAAGTGGTCTACCACAACGGTTTACTCATCGTCTTACGGACAAGTGTCAATCTGTTATATCTTTATATAAACTATTCTTCCTCAATTACGAACTAGAACAGTGTTTCCCGACTGTTTTCTGATATATAAATCTTTTTAGCATATACAAGAAGATTGTTGACGTCGATCCAGTGGTCTTTCCTCTATAGAAATTTTACTCTTTTATGTTGTCTCTTACAAGACACGATATTCATGTCCAGAATATCTTCTTTTCTCCTATTTTACTTCCTAGTGTTACTTAAAGTAAATCATTCTTTTAATACACATGTATAGTAATTTCAATTAATTAAGCAAATAAACTATGATTTTTCACGACATAGAAGTAACACGACTAACGTGGACATAAACTAAATTATTAATTGTATTAACATTAAATATATTCATACTTTATATACATATGTATGTGACCAAATTTGGTCAAATGTTAATAATAAATCAAATCAAGTATCTATTTGTTTAATGTGTACTTAATCTATCACATTAATGAACTATCGCTTAAAGACATACTGTCATATTACACAGGGTGTTGAAAAACAAAGGGTAAAATATTTTAAGTGAATGTAGTATGCCCAAAAAAATTTTAATAATCGCAAGTTCGCAAATAAGTCGTTTTTGAGATATTTGTATTTTTAAAATTTTATATATTTTTTTGTTTTAAAAGGGTAAACTTGTTGCTATAATTACTGGAGTCGTTGCTCCGTGAAGAAGCATTCTTACAAATTAGGTAAATTAAGTCAAATTTTCATATTATTGCAAATATCTCAAAAACAGCTCACTTACAGACCCATAGTTGTTTACTAAAACTTTTTAATTTCTTCTGGGGTATATTTCTAAATTCCATTAAACAAATTTTTTTAACATACACCCTGCATTTCTCCTGTTTTTCCAACAAAGTCACAAGCAAGTTCGTCGCGAATAGGAAGCACTGTTCTAGAATCATATCTGTGTGCACATTCGAGATATCGTTCTTTAAAAATATCTGTGCTGGATTAAATATGTATCACATAATGTACAGCTATAGAAATATGTTCAGCTTTGCCCATACTATTCACTCACGGCTGCTTTTATTGAAATCTTGTGCTAATGCTATTTATAGAAAAAGTGACCCCAAAACCAGTGTTTCTTTTTTTTCGTTTCTTTTCAATCTCTCGATATTGGAACTGAAATGTGTGCCAAGTGATACCAAGTGATGAGACATCAATCACAAAAAATTTGTAATTTGAGAATTGATTCTGAAGATATAGGGGAGTCAAAGTATTCAAAATTCATTAACGTGTTAGTTCATACACTGAAAAATCTGGCTTCATATTCATTATCAGCAGCCTGCAGAACCTCTGGATACAAAGGTTTAAATATTCGGACTGACATATAAATTTGTGCTTTAAGGCGTATGAGTTGACACGTTAACGAATTTCAACTACTTTGACCCTCTATATCTCCAGAATCAATTCTCAACATTAAAATATTTTGTAATTGATATCTTATCGTACAGTATCATTTAGTACACATTTCAGTTTCAATATCAATCGAGGGACCAAAAGAGGCGATTTCTGGAGCCACTCTTTTCTTCCCCCATCTACGTTATAATTACAATTATAACTTAGACAGATGAAGAATTGTCATCAAACTGTTTAAAAAGCAATAAACGACGTTGGTGCAATCGTCTCTACGACAGCTAAAGCGAAATATAAGTACTTCTTGTATAATTTCTATAATGTTTCATTGATTTAATCATGTATTAAAGATATATAAGCCATATAAGGAAGAGAGAAATGCCTAGCATAATGCAACTGACGATCCTAATGCTAAAATTAGGTGTGATTTTAAATACACAAATTAAAAAAAATAAGGAACACTTTTCATATCCCAAAAAGTAGGTTATTTCCAAATCGTTTAGACTCGACAAAAACTCATCATAGATAAAAATGCATTTCGAAATAAGAAGTTTCAATACTACAATTTTAACTTAGGTCCTTAAGATATAAAATCAATTAGAAAATGAAGAGGCCGTTTATAATGTATAAATGTATAAAAAAAATAAACCTGTGTTATAAGACTGGTATGTAACTGGCGCGCAGGATAAGTTGGAAAGAATACGGTATATGGATTCACTTATTAATTTAATTGGCTACTTGCACCTATGCCCGGTCCTAAACGGCCTCTTCATTTTCTAAGAAGTTTCAATTTTAATGCTACTTAATTTTTAGGCTATCGGTAGTTTTTAAAACCTCTTTGTCTTCGTTGTTTTATGCTTTAAAAACAACATATTTTGTTACTTAAAATTTACGTATTTTTCATGTTCTACAACTCAATAACGTATTTTTTCTTGCAAAATAAAACAAAAGTGCTAAAAAGTATATAATATTACCTACAACAAAATGCTTCTTCTTAAATTCTCCTACGACTTTTTTTATCAAGTTATGACTTTGAAACCAACCATACATTTTCTTCAAAGATGACGTTTAGGCTGAAATCACATGGTGCAGAATAGAGCTGCGGAATAGAACGTGCGTCATAGAAGCATCCAATCAGAGCCAGACATTTCCGTCACTCGTTGATACGGCAAAGCTCTGATTGCCTGTTTCTATAACGCACTCTCTATTCCGTACTCCTATTCCGCATCATGTGATTTCAGCCTTACGGGCGCCATTAGTGTTATTTAATATTATGCATCGCAAGGAAATTGTCAGTTGGATCGTGTATCTTGTACATGTGTGCGTGTGTAGAGGGGAGTGCGCATATTTGCGTGTGCCCATACAGCATAGATAGCTGCAGTTACATTGCAGAAACGTTGCAATCTTGCAGAGACATTGCAGGGATATAAAATTGCAAACTTTCGATAGCAATATTGCAGCAGTGTTTCAAAAATAATAAAAATACTATACATATAATATAAAGTGGACGCTCGTTGAATGTATAAACAAATGATTAAATTTTAAATTTAATTAATTGACGAACATTACGTGTGAGTTATAATGGCATTTTTAATTTATATTCTAAAAGCTAATTGGTCCTACTGGTTACGCCAATTCAAAAAACCTTACAATAGATTCATAAACATTGCGTGCGTTTTACAAAGACATTAAACTTATATTGGAAAAAACTAATTTATAATTTATATTGTTATAGATAAGACTTATTGCTACCACAATAATTTGTATCCGTATAAATGCTTGTCTCTTAAACTAACCTGAAGAGGACTGCGATTTGCAGTCGAAACGTCGTTATTGTGACAAATTAAATACATAGCCAGTTATGTCGAAACAATTGATTGATTATTGATTTAATTACTGGTGAACAAAAATATTACCAACAACATTTCAAATTTTAAAGGCCAAAAATAACGAGCTACTATAAAGGATGTTAGAAAAATCAATTATATTCTTAATAATTTACATAGGTGAACGTTTCGACTTTACTCAGTCTTTTTCAACACCCTAATTCAATAATTAAGATACATTGAATTTAAAAGGTATGTGACTGGTCATTTGAATTATTATTAAATGTCGTTGGAATAAGTTAAAAATTAATAAATAAAAAATTATATGTATATATAAATGCCAACATCACAAACAAGGAAAAAACGATTCCCATTCTGGACACATGTAATTATCGTCAAACAACTCATCGTTATGACACAATCTAAGAACGGACAGAGGTCAGTGGCAATAGTTAGACAACTAATTTTTAATTTATTCCAACGACATTTAATAATAATTTAAATGATCAGTCACGTACCTTTTAAATTTAATGTATCTTAATTACTGAATTAGGGTGTTGAAAAAGACTAAGTAAAGTCTAAACGTTCACCTATGTAAATTATTAAGAATATAATTGATTTTTCTAACATCCTTTATAGTAGCTCGTTATTTTTGACCTTTAAAATTTGAAAAATACTATATTTTCTATTTAAAAAATGTTTCTAATTACGAGAATTTTATAATGTTATTTTCGTTGATACCAATAATGCGCGAATTATTAAGTACTTGATCAGTGCGGTGTTGCTCGCAATCTCCATCTATTGCAAAGCGACATAATCTCCTTAGGTTGCTTCGCAATAGCTTGCTGTGTATTGAAAAAGGCCCGGATGCATATGTAATTAGTAAATTCTCTGCTTATGTACAACAACAAATTATTCCAAAAATATTGCACTGCAACATTGCTATAATGTTGCACTGCAATCTCTTCGAGGGCGGACATTTCAACGTTGCTGCAATCCTCCAGAAACGTTGCAGCAATGTTGCGCAACGTTGCTGCAATATTGCAATCTTGCAATGTAACATTTCTGTAATCTTCCTGCAATCTTTCTGTGCTGTTTGGGTGTGTATTTGGATAAGTACGTATCCGACTAACAATCTGTATGTACTTTTTTTGTTGTATTTTACAAGAAAAACTTTTTATTAATCTGCACACGATCGACAACAATTTTTTTTAACGATATGGAGTTAAGCTTGAAACTTCAACTTTAATTTTGCATCCACGAAATTTTTGCCAAATTTTAGAAATTTGAAAATAGTGCAATTTAGGACATGAAAAGTGTTCCCTATTTTTTAGTACTGCATTTCGGTCTTTTTTCACACACACGTGTGTTTCCATAATAACTACAATAATTGTAATTATTACGTCATAATTGAATATCTATTTAAGTCAAGGTAAATTATTACTTCCAAACGCAAGCAAACCTCGCAAATAAATCGATTAAACTAGTAAAATTTTGTAAAAAAAGGAATTTGTATTTCTGGGTCAACGAAAATGAATAAAATTAAATAAAATGAAAATGATATAAAAATTACTTATATAAAAATATCATACGAAAATGTGATATTTCGTAATTTATCTCTGTAATTTACAAAACTGATAACACTTGTTTAAATATCTGCAGTAATATAGTACTTGTACTTAAATATACAGAGTTAATTACGTGTTGTCAGATATGCATCACAATATAAGCTGATGTTATCTACCTTCTACATGTTACAACTCATTTTAACACAGAGGAGATCTAGATATCACTGATTATATCTCTCATTTATACACAGAAGCTATAAATTTCTACATTTAAATTGCTTACAATGCGTTTCTTTTGGGAACTAATCAAAGTCGCTTCAACTTGAACGATCTAAAACTTTAAATAAACTTATGCTTAGGAGCATTTTTTGCGTTTTCTGTACTACCAAAAGCAACTCAAAATGGAATATATACGTCTTACTCTAGACCGCCTTCTTCCTCCAGTTTCGATAAGAATTTTGCGACTCTGTAATTTGGTTCTACTTGACGTGCCATATCTGTTAGGTATAGCAATTTCTTAATACCGATGAATACACTGAAATCATAAAATGTATATCAGTATACATTATAAAAATATATGATACAATATCTGTAATAAAATATTTATCCTACGTAACACATATATCAGATAATATCACATACATTACTAAAAAAAAATATAGGGAACACTTTTCATACTCTAAAAATTGGGCTATTTTCAAACCATTGAAACTCGGCGAAAAATCATCGTAGACTCAAAACTAAAAAAGCATTTTAAAGCTTGAAGTTTCAACTTTAAAACCCTGTCAACGATTTATTTAAGTATGTTCATCTTCCTCGTTCTGTGCTTTAAAATAGAATACCTTGTTTTGTTCCTTAAAATTACGTATATTTGACACATTGCAGCTCGATAAAAAAAATTCTCTCGGCAAATTCGATACAAGTTCCACAATCGACAACATTTTACCTACAAAATGCTTTTTTTAAAATTTTCCTACGATTTTTTTTGACCGAGTTACATGACTTTGAAGCGAACCATGTATTTTCTTGAAAAATGATGTTTACCGCCGGCATTAGCGTTACCCAATGTGCACAACGTGGAGGTTGCCGGTCGGATTTTGTACATCGTGTGTGTGCGTGCGAGCGTTAAGTATTGTGTATTACCTTCTCTCTGTGGAGGATTAGGAGGGCGGTAAGAAACACGATAGGGATATAGAGATAGGGGAGATAGTAGAGAGGATAGGGGAGGGAGGAAGGGTAGTAGTGATCATGGAAATAGTGGAGGAGGAGGATAGGGAGGAGACGACGAGGAAGGCAGACTTTTTAAGGGCGAAATGGGGGTTAAAAGTAGATGAAGATCAGAGTATGGAGGAGAGAAGGACGAGGTGGAGGATGGTAGAAAGTGGAGGGCGAGAGTGGAGAGAAGCAGAGGGAGAAGGGTGAGGGTGGAGAACAGGAGAATGTGGGTGGATGGGAGAGAGTGGATATGGGAAAGGGGGTCAGAGGAGGGAAAAGGAGAGTGGAGAGTTAGATAGAGGGACGGGGGAGGGAGATGAGGAAAGGACCAGATCTAAGTTCTTGATGTTTTAGGTGGGGAGAAGGAGAAGGAGAAAGGCAGGAGGAAGAGAGGAAGGGAAGAAGGATGGAGAGTGACACAGGAGGAGCGGGAAAAGGAGGATGGAGGACGAGGCAGGGAGAAAACGACGGAGAAGGAAAAGGAAGAAAAGTCAAGGAAGGAGAGAGACAACGGAGCGGATCGGGCGGGAAGAGGGGTAAGAAGGGTTGGTCGAAAGGGTGGGAGGGAAAAAGTGTGTACAGGTCGCATATGGCCAGGTCGCGGAGGAAAAAGGGAAAGTTTGTAAAGAGTTCGGGAACGCTCCCTGGAAAAGCGCCAGTATATGAGAGAGGTGTTATAAAAGGTTTGGGTACGTTCCTTGAAAAAAACATCTTGTAACCCCAAGGGGAATCAATAAATAGTATCTATCTATCTATCTATCTATCTACCTTCTCTCCGATGAATTACCGCTTGTAAACCCTCTCGCATGTTGATGCATCTCTCGATCAAGTTTTGCGGAATTTCTTCATATCAAGTATGAAATTAATGTATTCTTTTTTAAAGCACAGAACGAGGAAGATGAACATACTCAAATAAATCGTTGACAGGGTTTTAAAGTTGAAACTTCAAGCTTTAAAATGCTTTTTTAGTTTTGTGTCTACGATGATTTTTCGCTGAGTTTCAATGGTTTAAAAATAGCCCAATTTTTAGAGTATGAAAAGTGTTCCCTATTTTTTTTAGTAGTGTACATATATTATCCAAATAAACATATTAATAGCAATTTTATCTTACCGTTTTCCTTGAAGTTTTGCATGTAAGGAACTCATTTCATGTTTGGAAAAAAGATCAACTTCTTCCAACACGCTTAATAGATGATCAGGATGCGACAAATTAGGCACATGAAGGATAGTATTAAACGCTGGGAGTAATTCCAAATCATCTAAAACTTGTCTACAAGAAGAAATATATTATTAAGAATATTATTAAGAACATGTCTTTTTCTTTCATGAAAAAGAAGTTTTTATTTTACCTTCGACTAGAAGTACACAGAATCAACAGTTTACGACCAGGTGGCGGTGATTTCTTTAATAGCACCAAAAGAGCTTGTAATGTCAGATTAGAGTATCTCGGTCCAATTGGACCGTAATCTAGTAGACGTTCAATATTATCAACTAAAATACAGCTAAGCTGTGAACGATATGCATCGTCGAATACCTAAAATGTATGAATAATAAGAGAAATTACTTTCTACGCTTATATCAAATATAATTATAAATATTTATTATGAGATACACTTGCATAGGCAACACAAAATCATACCTTACGTATGGAAAGACATTTTGCGGATTCAATAAAACCGACCATGTCTTCAGGTGTACACACTTTGACAAACGGAAAGTCTGAATTCTGTGCAATTTGTGCAGCAAGCGCTGTCTTTCCGCTGTTCGGCGGTCCTTCCAAAAGAACAGAAACGAGCCCAGATCCTTCAGTCGCACGAGCTTGTTGAATGCACAGACTGCCGTCAGTGAGAATTTCAGCCACCGGCCTACCCCAATTAATAATCCCACGAGTCAACAATTGACACAATGTTTCAGCACTTGTACCAAATGCCTAAAGGACGTAAAAATATAACATTTAGCTGTGTGTCTCACATAGAAGCATATTAATTATATAAAAACAAAATATACGGTTATGTAAATCGGAAGTTAAATTTTATTCCATTGGAAATCTATAGAGGAGAGACTCGCATTATGAGGTAGGCTATCAATATAAGATAGCGGGGTTTCTGCTAAACTAATAAATGCCGTCAGTTGTTTCCGCCGTGAACTTATTACTGTTGGAGTAAAAACTACTTAGTGAAAAATTCATTGTTTGATCGTGCGCGTAGTCGATATAAAAAAAAAAGAAATTGGATGTCGTCAAATTCTATTGAGTTTTTAAACTTTGTGTATTATGTAATAAATAGATATTTGGCAATAAATTTTGCATGCAGCGATAGAGTAAAATCGCATTCGTGGGAAAATACTGGATATGTTTCATTGTTTAGTTGTAGAGATTAGATTTGGTGATCGCAAAACTGCAAAGCGCCCGGCTTGTATTATGAGGTATTCAGTGTACTCGTACGAGATAACATATTCTCAAGTGTTAATTATCACGAGCAGCTAGCTGTTAATGAAAATGGCATCGTCTTATGTCTCCCTTCGAACCAACTAACTTTTGTCTGAAACATTTTTTCCTAATATGCTTCAAAGTATTTCCAAACAAGACCCGCGGAGCCCAAATTTTCTATGTTTGACTGGCTGTAGCCCAGTAACTAGCCATTAATTAAGTTTGAGCCCATTACATTTTTTGTTCAGCAGGTCATAAGCTACAATATATGTGAAAACTAGCCAATTTAACCGAGATCCAATTTCCTATATGATTAGTGCGGGGTTCTTTTACATTTCAACATCTTAGCTTATTAAATTCTCTTCAAAATGAGCTATTATACGTTTTAATTGTGCCTATAGATTTCCGGTAATTAGAAAAAATGAATTTGATATCTTATACACGAAGACTCTCCTCTAATAAAACAAGAAAAATGTAGAATTACATTAAATATATGCAGACTGCATATGTAAGAACCAATAACAGTAAAATATGCGATACAAAAGATTCTTCCAATAACACTTTGGAATAAAAGATCTTCAGTTCCTGTTTGCTTACCGGTTTAACATCATGTTCCAATGCGTGGAAGAAATCGCCTTTGGACACCATAAGCTTTTCCATTGCGGATGGATCCACTTCCACCTTGCTGGAAGCTTTAATTAGTCGATTCATGGCAGTGCTCTGTGCCGCTCTAACTAAACCTTCCAACTCTGCGCCACTGAAATTCTTAGTCAAAGTGGCCAGCTCTTTCAAATCTACGTCAGGTGCTATTTTTTTATAATCTCTCATTCGAGATGTATGGATATTAAGAATTTGGTATCGTCCGTGTTCGTCTGGTAAGCTAATTTCCATTTGTAACTTTAAAAGGCATAAGGATATATTAAAAATATTACACGACAAATAGATGTTATTATATTAGCACACATTACAAGCGAACAAATGGACAGTAAACATATTTACATTTCTCTTTGATTTTAAGCGGTACATCAATCAAATTAAAGTAAATTTAATTAAACGTAAATTGAAGGCTAACAAATGCACCGTCCATTATTCGTACTTGCATTTGTGCGCGCATAACTTTAAAAGGATTATCTTTAAAAAAAATTCAATTTTACCTCCAATCTGCCAGGTCTTAACAAGGCCTCATCAATCATGTCCTTCCTATTGGTCATACCAATAACAAGAATGTTATTTAATTGTTCGACACCATCGATCTTTGCAAGAAGCTGATTAACTACTGTATCGTGAACCCCTGTGTTTCCAGCGACACTACCTCGAGATTTACAGATGGCGTCTATCTCGTCGAATATGATTATGTGAAGCCCGCTGTTTGGCCCAAGCTAAAAACATTACAATATTTTTTCCTTATTGCGTGCAAAGGGTCTGATTAAAATACACACTGCATCTACGCAGATACACATCTCAAATTATTTACCCTCTTTTCCTCGTCTTCCGCATCGGCAAACAATCTTCTGATATTAGCCTCGCTCTCTCCAACGTATTTATCTAAAATCTGTGGGCCATTTACAATTTTCGGCTCCCTCGCATTTAACATTGTGCCTATTTGACGAGCCATTAACGTCTTGCCCGTGCCAGGTGGTCCATACAACAAGATTCCTTTCACATGTTTGCAGCCCAATTGAGTGACAATCTCCGTGGGAAAAACGCGAGATGCAAATGCTCTTCGAAAGATGGCAGTGAACTCTTTGTCCAAGCCACCAATACCCATTTTCTGAAAGTCCCAATCTGGATTGATAATCGTCTGTCGGACAGCTCTCCCCTTAGACTGGCCAACGAGATTCAAGCTGGAGTTCTCTGCCTTCTCGAATTGTATTATAGAGTCGCCCAGGCAACGTCCCATCTTCGTCTTCTTAGGCACTGTACTCTGTCCCGTACTGATGGCCGACAGATCGGCAGCTTCCAAACTCTTGACAACTAATCCAAGCAGTTTCTTATCTTTAAATTGAAATGCCAGCTGCTGACCCACGGTGAATGCCTGCCCTGAAAACTGTAGCAAGAAGTCCTTGGCCATTTCGTCTGTGTTGTACGGCTCCAAGGTGACACTGGAATAAAACCATACAAATGTAATAACTGCAAAGGGGAGAAAACCTGATGGAAAATTTGATTATAATATTCAGATCAAGATTTATTGCATCTATGTATGAATTTATAATAAATTGTACTATACAGAACTCTGCTGCATAGAAACTCTAATCATTTTGTATGCGGTACAAATAAATTGTCTGGCGAGCATACATTTTCTTTTGCAGAAAATCGGCTTCCAAGACGATGTTGCACAAACATTCTGTGTTGGAAGTTGGGTCAAAGTGATACGGCCGAACTTCGATCTCTTGATTGAGAGACAATGTCGCCCACTTCCGCTGGGGCAGGCTGAAGCCAACTGTACAACGTGGAATTTCATGATGCGTCCTCACAGTGAATACAAAATGATAATTTGGTGCTGTGGTTACCTCGATGTGTCTACAACGGACAATGAAATTAATGTATCTGTATTGTTGTATTGCAACTTAAAAATATATGTGTACATGGCTCTGTGATCTATAAATTTTGCAAGTTTTGAAATAAAACAAATATAGTAGAATCTAGTAAAATGTGATTTTTCAACGCTTCTATTGTAGAACAGATACTTACTTATGTGAAATAAAGAAATTGTCCCAAAGACAAACAAACATTTTACGTATCACGGCTACACATTAAGTTATGACCTAACCTGACTCAAATTTTTTAAATTGGATTTTAGCAATGCACTCACAGATGTTTATGAAATAGCTGTAATTGTATCAATGTATATTTTTAAAATGTATTAGTGGACTGATCGATTGTAAATTTTTCAAGATTCTCTTCTGTATAATCATTCTCTTTTGTACGATTACAATATTTCGCTGCTTTAATTCAGCTATTTTTTTATATTCCACTTGGAATTGTTCTGATCATTGATAAGCATATGAACACATACACACACACACATACATACATATTATATACATATATATATCTTATAGTACAAATTTGCATTAATTTATGGAGTAATTTAATATAAATTTACTTGATTACTCCATAACTCCAGCGAGACAATAATATATGTTACTTGTAAGATAACTAATCATTTTGTATACGTTGCATATCCCTTTACCTGACATCATCGGGAAAATCGTCTGGGTTTATGATTGCACAGTTGGAGAGACTTAGCTCGTCCGTGGGACACTTCACTGCTTTCATCCGCTGAAGCAGAAAAGATTACATTACCTCATATTTTATGCAAGACAACAAGCCTTGACAAAGAGGAGTTATTGATGCGACTTCGATTTGAGGGGCTAAAGGGGAGAGAGGAGTGACGGAGCGGGGCGGACAGTGCGGATTTCTAAGGTGGCCCGTACTCTTATCCGCGAAGTCATTAGAACTTTGAATTCGCGTCGCTCTCTCGCGCGGCGACAAATCGTTTCCGCGATCAGCACTCACCATCTTTGACATGTTACGGTCGAGAAAATCGACGAATCTTGATCGCGCTACTACGACACAGTAGCGCAGACGTGTATGCACCTGATATTGATGCGGCAAAGCTGTTCGCGGTCATGCGCGACAGAGAGAGAGAAAGAGAAAGCGAGCCGAGCGAGCGAGCGGTCGCCCCAGTCGCCCTCTGTAGGCGATTCTTGGCGATGTTTGGTACATACAGGGTGGGCCATTTTAATCTACCCAGGTAGCAAAATGATATCAAAATGTCAAGAAAAGGATAACTAAAAAAAGATACGGATAACTTTTTAATTGGCAGAAAAGATACCTTTAGGATGGCAAATAGTATCACTTATGTCCGCTTGGCGGATAACGTATTTATGTCCGAAATGTAACTATAAGATAACTTGTAGTGGATATCAAATTGCCAGCATATGGTAATCCTTTTTCAGTTGACAATACGTCGACTTAGAGTTATCAAATTGCTAAACAAATATAGTCACCCAGTAGACGTCTTATAGATATCTAAAAGAGGTTATCAAAATGGAATCTAAACGGCATCAATCGGTAATATATCTTAAAGATATTATTTATAGGTTATGGCTGATGGCAGACAACTATCCGTAAGCGCTTAAGACTGACGTAGTCGTAGACTTAAGGTAAGGCAGAGAAAAACGTAAGCCGTAGAACACATGTTCCTTACGGCTTATGTTTTTCTCTGCTTTACCTTAAGTCTACGGCTACGTCAGTCTTAAGCGCTTACGGATAGTTGTCTGCCATCAGCCTATATGGAACAGGTGCAGATAATAAAGCAGATAATAAAAGTTTATTATCTGAAATACGGATGTACATAATATGAAGTTAATTGTTAACTAGATACAAATAATCTTAGATAATTATTAACTTCATATTACGTACATCTGTATTTCAGATAACAAACTTTATTACCTACAGCTCATCT